TGGGGGCGTCATGGCCCTGGTCGCCCGTCGGTCCGCCTGGGAGTGGGGCCGGCCCGGAGGCTCCCGCCGGCTCCTCTCTGCTCCAGTGGCCCCTCCGCGCGACCCCGGGCGTTAGGCGGCCGAGCTGAGGCTCCGAGAGCAAGTGAGTAAGAGAGGACTGCGGGAGGTGAGAAGGGAGGGGACCCTTCCAGGGGCCTCCCCTACCCCGGCTTCGGCCCGCCCCTCGCCCGGGAGGGAGGATGAACCCAGTGGGCTGGAGTTGGCGGGAGGGAGCTTTCCGGCCGCTTTTCCTCCCGTGGCCCACACGGACCCCCTTGTCCCCTGGTGATTGCCAATGTGAAGCTCTAGCCGGTAAAAATCTTCCTGGGGGGTCTGTTTTTTGAGGCGGAGCGGGACAGCCCAGAAGCTGCAAGCCGCTGAGTATGCTGAGATGATTGGAAGACTGCGGAGAAGACGTACCCATCCGTGCCTCAGGTCTGCGCGCGCCTGAAGCGGCACGTGTGCGTGGGGCGGGGTGTCCGGGCCGAGTCAGTCCCCGGGAGGGACTGCCCCCGCCCAGGTCCTGGGCCAGGTGGCCCCGAACGCCCCTTTCGAGGGCCCTACCTGTGCCCTGGAACTCAGCCGGTCCGGCTGGCGCCTCCCCCGGAACTCAGGGAAGCAGGTTCCCCTGCCCCAGGTGGAGTAGCAGGGAGGGAGCTGGCCTGGGAATATGGTTCGTTTTAAATGGAAACAAACAAACAAAAAAAATCCTGAGGAGACTTAAGAGGCGTCAACTCTGGAGGAAGGATTAGTAGTAGGTTTGCGGGCGTCAAGAAGCGGGAGGTGCTTCGCATCCCGTGTATCTAAATAAATTAACTCGCCCCCCCCCCGCCCGCTAGACCAAGTCTGCGTAAAGAGTTTCTAAAGAAATTAGTGCGTTATCAAGTGTGGTGGCTTGACGTTGACTGGATCCCCTCAAGTTGGTATCAGGAGGAGTCTCCACGGAGTTGCATCACCAAATGTGCTTTCTGCCCACTTGAATATTTAACAGGGGAGCTGACTTTCTGGTAGATGGGTTTTGAGGACAAGATAAGGCAGTTTTCTCATTTTGGCAGCGGAAGAACGTTCACCATATTTGGATTTGCTCCACTTCTCTGGACACAGATTTCTCCAAGCTAATGTGAAAGCTGGTGACGGTGGAGGTGGATAGCTGATTAAACTAATTATTTTTAAAGTAGTCGACTGGCTTTCACTTCCTGGGCCCGGATTTACTAGTGGAGCTAGGTTTTTTTCCCAAAAGAGGTGACAGATTGGAATAACTGAAAAGAATCTGCTGGGATGTTTCGTCCAGTCCTGAGCTCAGTGTAGGGTCCCGATGACGTACTTAACGTTTCTTCCAGGGCCTCTTGTATACACAAGACTTCTGTATGCTTGTGATTGCAAATGCCACTTCTGATCCCACAGACTGCTTTATCTGACATTCTTCCTGCTTTGAAGACTTTTAATGTAAAATAAATCATAGAGCTATAAAGACTTTAAGACTTTAAACTCTCCTTTAATAAACAAATCTGGAAGGGAATCCCATCAAGATTAAATCACTTGCACAATCTCATCTAATTAGGTGGTTTAAAAACCAGAGACCCAATCTAGCTTTCCACTGTCCAAGGCTATATTCCTAAATACCAGTTTTAGGTTGTTTTTCCAAAATAAAAATCCTTTAAAAATTATATTTCAATGGTTTATGCTCCCTCTCCAAGTGATGAGTTCATCTTTGTAGTTTTGGAACAGGAACAGGCCTTCCTCATGGTTTGTACTTAAAGACTAAGAACACTTAAAAGTAAGTTAATTTTGGTTTTAAAAAAATATGCAGATGTTATGACCTGTGAGCCTAAGTAGATGTAGAGAGTTTATAAAAGATTACTGAAATGATACAAACTTGTTCTTTCTGCGTTAGTTGTGATAGTCAACTGGGTCACTGATGAATTGGCTGCATTTAGTTTCAGTGCCACTGATGTAATTTCCAGATAGTCACTAAGCAGTGTTATACTAGTGAACTAACTTCTGATTCGTTTTTTGCAGAGCGAATTGCAAAGCTCATCTACAGCCAGATTGACAGCATAGTTTTTTAGGAATCATGAATCAACTTTGGGCTACTTCCTAAAATTAAGCCATGAAAGCCCTCTTGGAGTTTACACAGCCATCTGCAGCACTTGAATGTGAAAAATGATCTTCTTCCATCAGAGAGATCGCCCTCTTCAGCTAAATCATCAGAAGTGGTGAGAAGAAGAGACCCTACCTGACCAAACTCATGCAGACAAATTAAACCCAGCTTTATTTTTTTAAGCAAGGGATGGAGTTGTATGGGAGTGGCCAGATCACTGCACTGATTGGTCCCCCTAGCACTCCACCTCCATGCAGGTTGTACCCATGCAAGGCACTGGCTGAGGCAGCAAATGGGAGCTGAAATCCTGCTCATGATCCACTCACCAAACCCAGTTGATTGGTGCATGGCCGTGTCTGCCCAGACGATGTGGCTTCTTTTTCTAATTTGCACCAATGCACCCTGGTTGGGCTAGTGACAAGTCTGACCATCCCACTCCCATATCACAGTCCTACCTGGATTATGTTCTCTACCTCCGATGGATTCAAGATTTTTATGAACAAATGAGGTTTCTTGCAAAAGATGAAATAACTGACCCAAATTGAAATTGATTTCATAGGTAAAGTTCAGAATATGATCATAGATAGGAATTATGTATATGTGTGTTTACATATGTATGTATACACAGTTATGTCTATGTATCAGAAGTTAGCATGACTTAAATTTGGTAAGTTTTATTTTAAACTACTTTGGGTATGGGAATCAGTTTTATATATGGATTTCTGGACTTCACAGGAGTATGTACTATTTAATTCCATTTCAACAAATACATATTAAGTGCCAGGCACTGTGCTAATGTATACAGTAATGAAAAATAATACAAACACCCAGCCTGTAGGTAGTTACTAATCTAGTAAGGAAGACAAATGATAAGGTCACAGATAAACTTGTGATTATAAATTACAGTAAAGGCTATGAAAAGAAATCCTAAGATGGAAAATAACAAGGCACATTTATTTCAGATTAGGTGACTGGAAACAGCCTCCCTGTGAAAATGACATGTCAGCTGGGACCTGAGGGTGAGTTCGAAGGAGTTTATGAAATGCTGCCTCTCTGCCATTTAAAGTTCAGAAAAAGAAAGGAAATAATGCCATCTGCAGCAACATGGATGGATCTAGAGATTATCATACTAAGCAAAGTAAGTCAGGTAGAGAAAGACAAATACATGGTATCACTTATGGAATCTAAAAACATGGTACAAATGAACTTATTTACAAAACAGAAATAGACTCAGACATAGAAAGCAAACTTACAGTTACCAAATGGGAAGGGGGTTGGGGGAGGGATAAATTAGGAATTTGGGATTAACAGATACACACTACTATATATGAAGTACATAAACAACAAGGTCCCACTATATAACACAGGGAACTATAGTTATTATCTTGTAATAACCTATAATGGAAACGAATCTGGAAAAGAATGTATCGATGTATAACTGAACCACTTTGCTGTATACCTGAAACATTATAAATCAACCATCTTTCAATTAAAAAAGATAAAGTCCAGAAGCATTTGAGTTCAAAGTAGAATACGATACATTTAAGGGAAAGCACAGAATAAAGTAGGTAACTAAGAAAGGAGAGGCTCTGGCCAAATTCATAGTGTAGTTTATAGACTGGGTAACTAATGAAGTTATGTTCATGTACGTGTCATTTTCTTTTGCGAGTACTTTGTCTTTGATGATCTTTGCTTCTTTCTTTAAATCCTGCTTTTCACTCAGCTTTTAGGAATTTTAGTTCGAATGGCCCTTCAGCCATGGCTTCTCATCTAACCGGCACATATTTTCTTGGTTTGTTTTCATTTTTGCATTGATCATAACTGTCTGAGGTTTTTTCCATACGTGGGAATTCTATGTGATTGGAAGCTCTGTGCAGGCAGGAATTACATTTCCTTCCTCCTGGTCACCCCAGCACAGTCCCGATCAGCCTCATCATACGGTGCCAGCCTCTCGATGAATGCGGCTGACTGTCTAACCTCATTTCACTTAATGCTTTTTAAAGGTTTACATGGAGGGAATACTTGCATTATAAAAAATTTTAATTGTTAAACAGAAGGGAAAACACAACTTAAAGTGCACCTTCACCAAGGAATTTCAGGAGACCTTGTTACTAAAGAGGATGATTACCCCCAGGAAGGGCAGCCAAGAAAGCCAGAGACTAAATACACAGCCTTTAAAAACTAAACACTGGTTATCGTTCAAGTACGCTGATGACAGTGGTAGGGTTGCTGGTAGGGGTTTTTTCTAGAGTTATTCAGTCTTTCGTTTAAAAGTTGATACCTGCTGTGTGCCAGATCCCGCTCTGGGTACTGGGGACACAGCAGTGAATGAAACTTCTTTCACGGAGCATGAAACTTCTTTCCACTGGGGCAGACAGACAACAAGTAGCCACAGAATGTGCCAGAGGGTGAGTGCTACAGAGAGAAGGGGCGCGGGGAACGAGTGCGGTGCTGGAGAGAAATAGTCATTTTATATCCCTTCATATCTGCAAGTTCCACGTCTGGGGATTCAACCAGCTGCCAACGAAAATTTTTTTTTAATTCCATTCAGTTACAAAAAGCAAAACTGAAATTTGCCATGTGCTGGCAACTATTTACATAGCATTTACATTGTATTCACAACTATTTATATAGCACTTACATTCTATTGAGTATTTTAAATAATCTAGGGATGATTTGAAGTGTCCTGGAGGATGTGCATGGGTTATATGCAAATACTATGCCATTTTGTATAAGGGACTTGAGCACCTGTGGATTGTGGCGTCCGGGGGTCCTGGAATCAATTCCTTGTGGATCCCAGGGGTGATTGTACATTGTCAGGAAACTGTCTCCAGAGACTGGGGCGTAGATATGTGGGCAGAGAGTTGAAGCAGTGAGCTACATGCCCGCGTATGTCTGTAAGCACAGGGAACAGCAAGTCAAAGGCCATAAAGCAAGCATGCTTGGTATGTTTCAGGATTAGCAAAGAGACCAGTGCAGCTGGAGTAGAGTGGGTGACAGAGGAAATGACAAGAAGTGAGGGCAGAGAAGTAGCCAGGGGCCTGGATTGCATAGGATTTAAAAACTATGTTATGGACCTTGGTTTTTTCCTCTGAATGAAATGGTTAAGACTCAGGGGTCTTGTCAAAAATAAAGAAGTGCTATTTATTACTGTATTATTAAACATAACAGCTATTTCCTGTTCCCACAGAGCAAATTAAACGTAAGGACTTAGTTAAATGGGTGTTGCGAAACTGAAAACAGTTCGAAAAGATCATTGAAGTAAAAGTGACTGCAGTAGGCAGCTCCCATCCCTGGGGATCGAGGAACACGGGAAGTTGGGGTTACCAAAGCCTAGAAGCTGACTCAGGAGCCCTCGGGATTGTTGCCCAGCTGTTGCAGATGCCCCCGTGATGGTGACATGGAGTTGACTGTGGGTGTGCTGGGAGAAAACTGGACACGAACTGACTGCCACTGACAGGATGGGTTAATTTCCTAGGGCTGCCATGGCAAAGTACCAGGAACTAGGTGACTGAAAGCAACCAAAGAGCATTCTCTCATAGATCTGGCGGCTGGAAGTTGGAAATCCAAGAGTGGGCAGTGTTGGTTCCTTAGGGAGAATCCGTTCTGGGCTCTCAGTCCTGGGAGCCTCAGGCGTTCCTTTCCTTGGTTTGTAGCTGGTGTCCTCCCTGTCGCTTCACATCATCTTCCCTCCATGCATGTCTGTCTCTGTGTCTGTATTTCCCCTTTTTATGAGGACACCAGTCATGTTGGATTAATGTCTATGTCATCTTAGCTCACTCGTTTGCCAGCACCTAATTCTCAGTTAAGGCCACATTCACAGGTACTGGGGGTTAGGACTTCAACATCTTTTGAGAGGGACAGAGTTTAATCCATAATACGAGATAAGGGGGCACTGCTGGGGTGATGCAGACAGGAACGGTGAGGAAGGAGGAAGGAGTAGGACCTTTTTCATCACTTTGCCTTCCAGCCTCCCTCTTCTGCGCTGTCTTAGGTCGGATGGCCAGTAAGCAGAGCTCAAGACAGGGATCCCTGGGCAGGTGCTTTACTGAAGGAAAAGGAGAGTGCTGGAAGCAGGATAGGGCAGGAGAGCAAAGCTGAGTAAGGATGAGGCTAAGGATGTAAGCTGGAGACTGGCTTCAGTCTGATCTCCCAAGGGATCTCTTGAGCACGAAGTGCACCACCGAGTTGGTCCCATCCTGGCGCAGAGGGAGGTGGAGGGGACTGATTTTTTTTCACCTACGTATCAGTGGGTTACTGTTTGCAGGTTGCCCTCAGGGAGACAGGTCCTGTTCTGCCAAGAACAGTGCTCTGGAGAAGAGGCAGCTGTGAACTCTGATAGCCTGTATTTTTCAAGGAATTTGTCCATTTCACCTGTTGACGTAAAGTTGTTCATAATATTGATGTGTTAATCCTTTTATTCTATAGACTCTATAGAAATGTCACCTTGCTCATTCCTAATATTGACAGTTTGTGTCTTCTGTCTTATTTTATGATCAGTGTGGCTGGAGGTTTATCAATTTTTTGGGTTTCATCAAAGAACCAGTTCTTGGTTTCATTAATTTTTTTTCTATTTTTCTGTTTTTTGGGTTTTTTTTTTTTTTTAGTTTATTTCCCCTCTGATTTTTATTGTTAACTCTCTTCTGTTTACTTCGGGTTTAATTTGCTCTGATTTAGTTACTTTCTTAAGATGGAACCTGAGGTCATTAATTTGGGACCTCTCTGTTTTTCTAACGTAGGCATTTAGCAATATGCATTTTCCTCGTGGTACGGCGTTTAGCCACATCCCACAAAATTTGCAGTGTTGTGCTCTCAGCTTCATTCAGTTCAAAATGCTGTTTCCCCTTTGAGTTCTTCTTGACCAGTAGTGTCTCAGGACTTGGGGATTTTGTTGTTGTTATAGCCTTTCTGTTGTCGATTCTAATTCAATTCCATTGTAGTCAGAGAGCTTAATCTGTACGAATTGATTCTTTTAAAAATTTGGGGAACTTTTATGGATAGGAAAATGGTCTATATTGGTAAATATTCTGTCCACAATGGTGAAGATTGTACACTTTGCTGCTGTTGGGTGAGACGTTCTGTTAATGTCAAGTAGGTTGATTTGTTAGATAGTGTTGTTTGGTCTTCTCTCTTTATCTATTTTCTGCCACTTGTTCTATCAGCTATTGAGAGAGGAATAAATATTGACAGCTCTGAATGTATTATGGATTTTCCTGTTTCTTGTAGTGCTGTCAGTCTTTTAAAATATGTTTTGAAGCTCTGATAATTGAGTGCATAAGCATTTAGGACTGTTATGTCGTCCTCATGAATTACCTCCTTTTGTCATTCTGAAATGTCTTTCTTTATCCTTGATAATCTTTGCTCCAAAATCTACTTGTTATTAATATAACCACTCTTTCTTTCACTTGATTAGTGTAAACAGATTTCCTCTCATCCTTTTACTTTTGATTTATTTCCGTCTTCATATTTAAAGTGCACTTATTGTAGACAGCATATAATTGTATTTTGTTTATTTCTGTCAATGTGACCTATGACTTTTAATTGAGCTGTTTAGCCCCTTTACATTTGATGTAATTACCAATCCAGCTGGGTTTAAAATCCAACTCTGTACTATTTGCTTTTTATGTGTCCCATCTATTTTTTTTGGTTATCTTTTAATTCTTTAGCTCTTCTTTTGGATTATTTTAATTTATTCCAATTTCTCTGTTATTGGCTTATTAGCTATAATTTTTTATTAATGCTTACTTTAGAGTTTGAATTATTTTTAACTTATAGTGTGCCTTCAGTTAATATAGCACTTCATATATAGTATAAAAACCTTAACAGTATACTTTTATTTTCCCCTCCCAGCCTTTGTACATATGCTCCCCATATGTTAAAACCTCAGTATGTATTGTTACTTTTTTCTTTAGACAGGTACTTATTTTTTAGATTTTAAATAAGAATAAACATCTCTTATATCTACCACATAATTAACATTTTGGTGCTCCCCATTCCTTAGTGTAGATCTAGATTTTTATTGGTATGATTTTCCTCTGAAGCACATGTGTTAACAGTTCTTGGTAGCCTTGTAGTAATAGTGTGAGTGTGATTGAGTCAGACAGAGTCTTTATTTTACCTTTGTTTTTGAAAGACAGT